AACGCCTGGAGCTCCAAGGAATAACACTTTCTTCATGGACTGGTGAATACTCGTAGTAAACAGGTCGCAATGAAATCGATCATCTGGGCGAGCGCTATGTTAAAATGCGTCGGAGCAATCTCGTTGAGCCACTTGTTTTCGACAAACTTTTATACCTCCATGGGTTTAATTTTGTAATTCTTGTTGTTATAATAACATGTCACCTGTGCAGCTCAGGACTTGTTGTGTGTTGCGGTCATAACTCTATAAATAACCCACTGATACGAGCACTCCTATGGACTCGCCAGTAGAATAACACCATCTATTTACAGTCGTCCTGTACTCTAAATACAGATGAGGGCGTGCGCTAAACTTCTTTAGGAAGGAAGCTTTACCCCTTCCCCTTGGGCAATTCGTGTCGTCATTGATTATATTACTTCAGATTTGCGAGTCCATTCCAAAGCGACATTTTTACACTAAAGTGAATTTTATAGGAATTATTTTTGCAGTTCTATACGATTACATTTCCAATGCTTTCTATCCTTAAAAAATTTTCCCAAATTTTCCTCGCCCGAGAGGAGCTCCCAGTCCACGAGCACACCCCCATAGCTGATATGTTCGCCCTCTACCCCATAGAAAGCGTCATAGTAATGACGCGTGGCTTAGAGCTGGGTATGGCCAGCAGGTAGTAGTAGTTAAGTTTATGCAACCATCACAGCTGCAATTATTTTCCCTCAGCACCATCCTGTTGGCACATTGTTTGTATATAGTAATCTGCAATATTCCTTCTAGTGGGTTTATCGAGCCAACCGAAGCGACTCTCATAGACAGGGCATTGCTACTACTTTGTGTAAGGTAAATTTCCTCAACAATTATATTCACTAAACTCCAACAGATTCTGCGTATCATAATCGCCTTACCAAGGCCCCTATTCTGGCTCAGGACAAGACGGGATTTCATAGAGGCGCGGTATGAACTAATTTCTAATTGCCCTAATACACAGCTTTTAGTTACTTATCAACTCCTCAGCAGATCACAGCACGTTTGTTGGACATATATTCACATCCATTTAAAATAGAGAGAATACTCCTATTTACCTACTACACGTGGTTGGCATGTGTCACCGCTCTATTGTGTCTACTACCGATATCGTTTCCACACAATATTGAATTCGCCAAGGTAATAATAATAATAAAAATAATTTTGCATTGTCGAATTTTCAGATTAGCTCGGGAAGGGTAAATTAATAACAATTTTTACCGATTTTTATATATTTTTGTAAATGACAACTTTTAACAGGGGAGAAATTATGTCAGGAATATATAGTGTTTACTAAAAACCTAGGAGCCTGATAGAAATTGTTTTGAAACCGTATTAAGAGAATGTTGATTTCAAGAATGATTTCCAATTCCTCATAGACTCCTCACCTTATTTGCTGGTATACGTAGGGGCCAGAGTTAGTAAGCTTTTATCAAATATTCAGTATACAGTATCGCTAGATTCAAGAGCTTGTTTGCTCTTTTTCTCAGTGAATTTCACAATTTATTAAAATCACAAATCATCCAAGTTTGTCACGAAAAAAATTTAAATTTTTCGTCTGTGCAGGGTAGAAATTTGTGTAAGGTCGTTAACACGTGTGGAAATTCGAGTCCACGTAGTTTGGTTGTTTTCCAAAAATGACAGTTGGATTGTATGAGAGTAATTAAGTCGGTCATGGTTGAATTAATTGGTTTCATTCTATTCACTTGGTTATTGGAGTTTCACCACCCGTTTTACGTGAAATGGTGAAACACGATTTTCGCGGTGATATGCAGTCGTCGTGAAATATATTTTTCACAAGTCTTTTTCATATCACATTTACATGTGTTGTTGACAATACCTAAAATATGAGAGTTTCAGCGTAGTTTTAGTTTTTAAGTAGTGTTGGAAACTCCTAGGCTCAGGTACGGAAACCTAAAAATTTGATGTTTTTTTCTCTCAGACGTTATGGCGACATTTGTTGTTGAACTTGGCATCGTTGGTGTTCCACAGAGTAGCTTGTGTGAGTTTATTCTACTGGTTAATGGAGTCAGAGTTTAAACGTGGCATCCCGGCAGAAATCCTTGATAGATTCACTGACGTGGGTTATTACTACTACTCATTTTTACTCACTGTGTGGGCCTTCCCCTCAGGTGACAGTTTATCATAGCGGATGGTTATCAAATTTGATATGCACCGAATCAAATGGGAGTAGTCGAGAAAACGAAGTGGTTGTGAAAGACCATCGGTACAGCAGCAACGACTGCGCGATTTGTTATACAGATTTCCAAGATGGTGACAGAATACGCGGCTTACGGTGTGGTCATGATTTCCACGCCGCTTGTGTTGATATGTGGCTGTTGGAGCATCAAAATAGGTATGAGAAAATTTTTTTATCGGTTTCTCTACACTACTACTCGAATTCGTATTAGTGAGTTATGGGCGGAGCGAAGCGATTTTTGTTATAGTCGTTTTGGAGAAAGCGGACATATATTCCTCCTCCTCTTCAGATGCCCACTTTGTCTGCGCTTGGTTGGCCCGATGGTTTCCATTAAAAGATGATAATAAGTTTCGCTGTTATCCGTACTATTCATTTCATCCGAGTTTTCACCATCAATTCTAACAGTCATTTCCAATATATCTCATTTGTGTTAATAGTGCAGTTGAGCGGAGCGATGCATATTTATGTTATACCCAATTTATTCGGAAGTTTAATTTAACCAAGTACGCGCGGCGCAATGATCACTATAGCATTTAATACTGCGCCATCATTAGTAGTACTCATCGTATTGCCTTCATATGAGCCACAGCAATCACCAACTCAACACTTCTCTCAACTATAAGAGACGTTCATGCTTTCAAATCACTTTTCCTTGGCTGTATCAACCAAGCCGCCTTCTGACCCCGTGTAGCCTTCCCGCACTCCATCCTAGATTCGATGCTTCCTATTCAGCAAACTCTTTAGGAATTACATTTTTCCCTGTGCAGTTTCCTTACTCCTCATCTGTGCCTAAGTATTCCGAAAATACTTCCTTCTCAACAGCTTCATCATTGATAACATCAGCAGTTGTCTTGAGTGACCTCTGTGAGTTCTTTTTACTCGCCGTTAGATCATATCATCACCAAAATCTTCCTCTGGTACACACCGCCCTTGAAAATGCAAACTCTTCAGAACTCTTCTAGTGATAGTTAAAGTAGTTTAAGCGGCTGAGCTCGGCTAACGCAGTTGAGCCTTCATATGTGTGAATGGGAAAGGCATGTGTAGTAGAAAGATTGAATGCACGCATGCGCATAAAAAAGCGCGCGCCCAGACGATTCCCAACGAGGGTATTATTGAAATCCAATACTGCTTTTAATTAACACATGATGATCATGCGGGGTAGATGATGGATTGGAGTGCCTCTAGGGCTGATCGAGGGTCGGTGGGGTCGTCTGAGGGAGGAACAAACCACTACACAATGTTTATGCAACCCGCACACTATCATTAGAATAGTGTTCTAATGCTAGTGTGGGAGTTGACTGTTATTATGATGAAGGGAAACAGTGAAAGTGAGATCAAGAGTACTCAACACCGCTGGAGTTTTGGGATGCGAAACTCAGTGGAAAACAGGAAGATACAGACTTATATGCAGTATAGGAAAATATGCACATGGTCAACTACATGTGTTGGTGATGATAATATGAAAAATTGTGAGAAAACTGAGGGATTTCCAACTGATTCTTGTACACTTCTACCCAAATTCGTATAATTAGCGAGGTCAGCTGAGGAAAGTAAACATATATTACAACGCTGCTTACATGAAAGTACTCTAATTTTATGTGATGTTGGATAGTGCATTTGGGCAGTTGGTGATGGAGGAGGAGATCCTAGGAAGAGCATAACAACCTAATACACCAACAATAGTTAGGTTACGTATAGCAATACCCCTACCTGAGCTGAGCAGGGGAGTTCCGATATCCGATCGCTCCAGGAGGTCCATGGAGAGTGGTTGTGTGAGGATACTATCACCACAACTATGGGAGATGACGCGACGAGATGATCGATTTGAATAGAGTACCTTTCTAAATAATAGCAATACACAAGGACTGGAAGACAAGTAGTTGGAGGAAAATATTTTTGGTTTCCTCACCTGAGCTTAGGGGTTTCCTCACTATAGAACTTGCTATACAAATTCGGGTAGAAATGTACAAAAGCCAATGAAAATTTCCCAAAATTTTCTCTCAGAAATTGTCACCAACACATGTAGTTGACCATATGCATATTCCTCCACGCCGCAGTGCACTGACAAATTTTTCAAAGTATTCGAGAAAGAATAACACCAGTTTACACACGAAATCGGAGCGCATCGAGATTGATCGCCTTCATCATCTGTGTAGGGATATATGCCCACTATAAAAGTACGAAAAACTATTATAAGAATGAAAAAAAATATTAAAAAATTACAAAAAATTATAAAACTACTATTTCTTACATTTTCTTTTTCGTGGAGAATTCATGTAAGGATATACACCACGCCGATTTGAAAAGAAAATTATTTTCAATTTCATTAATAATTTTATTTTTTTATTTAGCAAATGCGGTTTTTCGACTCGTGCACAATTTTTCCCTTTTTTTTGCTTTATTTCTCACTAACTTCGAGGAGTTGGGCGCTGAAATTTGGAAGGTATATAATGTGAAGCATAAAAGCAGACTCCGCTGAGCCCCAACATAAAATCACCCTGAAAAACCAGATGTGGTAGAGAAGTATATTCCAAAACCGCTGAAGTGTAATTTCCCCCAAACTAAACTAACCTCGTCAGATCGTCACTGCACTCGATGATAGTAACTTTCGCCACTTCCTCAACCCCTTCTGGTGAAAACAAACATGTACAACTTCGCCATCCATCTTCGTCCGCTTTTCCTACCATAAATCCGTCAAATCACAACAACAACCACCAGGAGCAGCAGCATCCTACCTCCACTGATCAGCGTCACTCTCCCCGCGTTAGCTAATATTTGATCAACAAAATTTGCTTTCGTATTTTCTCCCAAGACGACAATTCGAATCGCTCTGTGATAGTATTCTCTATCAGATTCGCTGACCATCGTTTTAATAACAACAACAGTTTCAGCAAATTCGACTTCCTTTATCCCGATTCTCTCAGCGACCGATCTGCTCCTCCCCGACTTCAACGCAAATGATGATAATAACAACAACAATTCTTTGAACAACACACATGCCGTAACAACAAAAACATGTAAACACCTTTAAACTCGATTAAATCTGTTTACCACAATTTATCAACATCTACTTCACAACAACATTTCCATTCAAATGCGGCTGAATCGGCGTGAACCTAGCCGAAATCTCAGCAGCTTTCCTCGCTGAATCAGCATAAGGATCTCCCCTCGCCAAAGCTCTCTGAGCAATTTCATCCTTAGTTCTAGCTTTCCATTCTCGGGCCCTTTGCCTCAGTTCGCCCTCATCACTCCCACTAAACTTCGCAATATGGGTCTTCCTAGTTTTAGTAATCGTTTGCATCTGCTGATACGTGCCAGCCCATCCAGCAGTGTTCACCGGTGGCTTCTCGGGAGCTTCAACCTCCACGAAATTCCCATTCCACCACTTTGCGAAAATCTCTGCGAATTCAGGATGATGATGAAATAACAAAGCCACTGGTGTGTTCACAAAGGGAGGATCAATGCCGTTGAAACTTTCACCACAAACTGCCTTCAACATCACCGCTTTACTCTCCTTATTATTATCATCATCATGAGCACCATCTTTCAAAACAGGATACTGCTTTTCAGCAAAAGTCATCTCTCCACACACGTACCGCACCAAATGATAATTGACCTCACTCGGGGCATCACCAGCGAAGTGATCCGGGCGGAGAAACTGAAATGAATGTTAGTAGTAGCAACAGTATTGGAGTAGCAATATTTGCTCATTTTCCTCAACTGAGCTCGGGAGTTTCCAAAGGTGATAGTAGGAATTTATACACGAACTAGGGTAGAAGTGTGCAGAAACCAACACGCATTCCTCTAAAATTTTCACACTGCCGACTCCACATGTAGTTGGTAATATGCATAATCTCTCACACTGCATAGTAGTAGTAGTAGTATGTACTCACCTCGATCTGTCTGGCAACCACTTCACCCTTGAGATTGAATACCACAGTCGCCCTCTTGAGAGGCAGCAGCTCTTCTTTTCCCATATAAATATCCTTCGGAATTGCGATAAAATCAACAGTTTCCAACAAATTCGGATCAAAATCGACCTAAAGATATTTTTCCTGCCCCAACGGTCACTCACAAATGAGGTCCAACCTGATGATGCAGATAGCCTCCAAAGCCGTATGCAAACCCAGTTGCTTTGCTAACCGTATCAAAACTAATACGAATTCTCTCATGCTTGACGTCAGGTTGTTGTTTTTTCCCTCCAGTTTTCTTCCCACAGTAAACAGTAACTTCATATTTTTTATCAATCATGAATCTAGGAGCTTCCACTACTTCGCGACAACTATACTCGAAAGCCCCGAACTAACACACAAACATCATCAACAACAAACTCAGCAAAATTCAACTTACGTCCAGAATGAGCTCCTTAGGGTAGATCTGTATAAAGGCGCCTTTTACTTCTGACGGGCTGTCTGCAATCATCGCCGTTGCTCCCGAACGACCAAAGTAATAACGCTTATCGATGAGCAACTAAAACGGGACCATCTCGCGATGACACCAATCAGAATTTCCACTCCAAATTTCTCGCGTATGGTCAGGAACACATTCTTCAATCAGTTTTCCCACGAAAATGTCACAATCACATACAAACCATTTTCCCCATTGTTATCAAATCCTGGAGCAATGTTGCTCTTCTCAGCCGAGTGCAAAAGTTTCCTCACTAATTATAGAAATTTACAAAAAATCGGGTAAAAATATCCAAAAACCAATAAAAATTCCTCGGAATTTCCACAAACGTCACCTATACATGTAGTTGAATATGCGTATTTTCTCACCACACCGCAAAATCGAAAATCGACACCAACTTACTTTCCCTTTCTCCAAACCAGCAAAAGCAGAGGCGACCGTAGTCCCACTAAGCTCGTCGTCCATCACAACGATAACGCTGGATTTCTGATATTTTTCCCCAGTCCTGGGCTTTCGAGTAACATCATAACACTCCAACAATATGAAGTAGTAAAACTGTTTATACACGAAATAACCGTCATTCAGTTTTCCACACGAGTGATAGTTGTTTCCGATCTGACAAAAAAAATTTTCAGATTTTCCACGAATCAAAAACCTACTTTAACCACTCTAGTATTCTTCTGAGTAGCCGTTGACGATATGAACTTCAATTCTCCCGCAAATTCGACAGCTTTTTGGTTCACGTACACACTCTTCACGTGTTTATATATCGATGAGTAGCTCGGAGGGGCCCGAGGCTTGTCCAGTTTACCCCACCACGCTGCCAGTTCACGTGCATGCTCTTCATCCTCACAAATGATCTATAAAAAAATTCCCCATAATTTCCGATAATAACGTCCTCTCACATCAACGTCGGTTTTCTTTCTAGAACCATCGTCCTTGAGGCAACTTGCCCTAACCATATAGGCGTTCTTGGCAGTGTTAATTCCTCTGTGAGGCTCTGGTGGAGCCTCGACTGGGTCGCAGGTATATTGGAATTCCGAAATTGCATACTCGTACGAACCAGCACGGTTGTTGGTGAAACCAACCTAAAACGACACTCAGGAAAAAACAAATTTTGCGGAAAATTTGACGAAAAATTTTCGAATTTTCGAATTTTCGAATTTTGCGAAATTGCCCTGCATCGCACAAAAAAAGCTCATTTCAACGCCAGAGGGGAAAACATCAAAATATCGGGAAAAAATACAAAAACGCTGTAAAGAATATTCCAAAACCTCCACCACTAATACACGTTATAAAAATGTGAAATTGTAGTTCAATTTAACATTTTCCCACATACTATTCTTACAAAATTTAAAAATATTTCACTTAGCCTCCCCATCCGTTATTACCGTTAACCATCTCTTATGCTCAGTCCGTTGAACCACCGATGCAACTACGTCGGGGTGAGTCTGGGCTATCGATGTTGGTTGGTATGATGCCTTCCTCAATGTGAAGGAGTTTTTAATATTATCAATGCGGACCGATGAGCATGATTTGAGTATGTCCTTCGACACAGCTAGTTCTGATATCACCGCTTTACCCCAAGTAGCTATTTGCAACGCCGATTCCTCCTCTCGACATTCGATTTCAAGAACCTGTAATATTTCCTAGCGGAGCGAAGCAACAACATCATTTTTCCGTACCTTTTCCTGGCAAGCACATTGCATAACTAGAGTGCCCATAGCAGTGTATTGAGGTGGAGCCATAACATGGCTACATGAGTACTGGTTCATGCCCTGTCCAGGGGCTAATGCCTCCAGCTCGATACCGGCTCCAACGATGGAAGCCCGACCGAGCTGCATTGGAGTAAGAGAACCCTTCACAGTGACCCTCTCACAGGAGCGGCAG